TTTAAACTAAAGACTGTAGTTAGAGACACAGAAGGACACTATATCATTCTTAAAGGGTTTATCCAACAAGAAGATCCAACAATTGTAAATATCTATGCCCCCAACATGGGAGCAGCCATCTACATAAGCCAACTGTTAACCAAAATAAAGAGTCATATTGATAACAATACGTTAATTGTAGGAGACCTTAATACTCCACTCTCAGCAATGGACAGATCATCTAAGCAGAAAATCAACAAGGAAACAAGAGCTTTGAATGATACATTGGACCAGATGGACCTCATAGATATTTACAGAACATTCCACCCTAAAACAACAGAATATTCATTCTTCTCGAGCACACATGGAACTTTCTCCAGAATACACCATATACTGGGTGACAAATCAGGTCTCAACCGATACCAAAAGATTGAGATTATTCCCTGCATATTCTCAGACCACAATGCTCTAAAACTGGAACTCAATCACAAGAAAAAATTTGGCAGAAATTCAAACACTTGGAAGCTAAAGACCACTCTGCTCAAGAATGTTTGGGTCAACCAAGAAATCAAAGAAGAACTTAAACAATTCATGGAAACCAATGAGAACGAAAACACATTGGTCCAAAACCTATGGGATACTGCAAAGGCGGTCCTAAGGGGGAAATACATAGCCATCCAAGCCTCACTCAAAAAAATAGAAAAATCCCGGATTCACCAACTAACTCTACACCTTAAAGAACTAGAGAAAAAGCAACAAACGATGACTAAGCCACGTATTAGAAGAGAAATAATTAAAATTAGAGCAGAAATCAATGAATTAGAAACCAGAAACACAGTAGATCAGGGGCGCCTGGGTGGCCCAGTCATTAAGCGTCTGCCTTCAGCTCAGGTCATGATTCCAGGTCCTGGGATCGAGCCCCGCATCAAGCTCACTGCTCTGCAGGAGGCCTGCTTCTCCCTCTCCTACTCCCACTGCTTGTATTCCCCCCCTTGTGTCTCTCTCTGTCAAATAAATAAATAAAATCTTTTAAAAAAAAGAAAGAAACACAGTAGATCAGATCAATGAAACCAGAAGTTGGTTCTTTGAAAGAATTAATAAGATTGATAAACCACTGGCCAGACTTATCCAAAAGAAAAGAGAAAGGACTCAAATTAATAAAATTATGAATGAAAGGGGAGCGATCATGACTAACACCAAGGAAATAGAAACAATTATTAGAAATTATTATCAACAACTATATGCCAATAAATTGAGCAATCTGGATGAAATGGAGGCCTTCCTGGAAACCTATAAGCTGCCAAGACCAAAACAGGAAGAAACTGACAACCTGAATAGGCCAATAACCAGTAATGAGATTGAAGCAGTGATCAAAAACCTCCCAAAAAACAAGAGTCCAGGGCCTGATGGATTCCCTGGGGAATTCTACCAAACATTCAAAGAAGAAATAATACCTATTCTACTGAAGCTGTTTCAAAAAATAGAAACAGAAGGAAAACTTCCAAACTCATTCTACGAGGCGAGCATTACCTTAATCCCCAAACCAGGCAAAGACCCCATCAAAAAGGAGAATTTCAGACCGATATCCCTGATGAATCTGGATTCCAAAATCCTCAACAAAATCCTAGCTAATAGGATCCGACAATACATTAAAAGGATCATCCACCACGACCAAGTGGGATTTATCCCCGGGATGCAAGGGTGGTTCAACATTCGCAAATCAATCAATGTGATAGAACACATTAATAAGAGGAGGGAGAAGAACCATATGGTCCTCTCAATTGATGCAGAAAAAGCATTTGACAAAATACAACATTGTTTCCTGATTAAAACTCTCCAGAGTATAGGGATAGAGGGAACATTCCTCAAGCTCATAAAATCCATCTATGAAAAACCCACAGTGAATATCATCCTCAATGACGAAAAGCTGAGAGCCTTCGCCTTAAGATCAGGAACATGTCAAGGGTGCCCACTCTCACCACTGTTGTTCAACATAGTACTAGAAGTCCTAGCAACAGCAATCAGACAACAAAAAGAAATAAAAGGTATTCAGATTGGCAAAGAAGAAGTCAAACTCTCTCTTTTTGAAGACGACATGATACTTTATGTGGAAAATCCAAAAGACTCCACCCCCAAATTACTAGAACTCATCCAGCAATTCAGTAATGTGTCAGGATACAAAATCAATGCACAGAAATCAGTTGCTTTCCTATACACTAACAACGCAACTGTAGAAAGAAACTAAAGAAACGATTCCATTTACAATAGCACCAAAAACCATAAGATACCTCGGAATAAACCTAACCAAAGAGGTAAAGGATCTATACTCTAGGAACTACAAAACACTCATGAAAGAAATTGAAGAAGACACAAAAAGATGGAAAAATATTCCATGTTCATGGATCGGAAGAATAAACATTGTTAAAATGTCTATGCTACCCAGAGCAATCTATACCTTCAATGCCATCCCGATCAAAATTCCAGTGACATTTTTCAAAGTGCTGGAACAAACAATCCTAAAATTTGTATGGAATCAGAAAAGACCCTGAATCACCAAGGAGATGCTGAAAAAGAAAAACAAAGCTGGGGGCATCACGTTGCCCAATTTCAAGCTCTATTACAAAGCTGTGATCACCAAGACAGCATGGTACTGGCACAGAAACATACAGACCAATGGAACAGAACAGAGAACCCAGATATGGACCCTCAACTCTATGGTCAAATAATCTTCGACAAAGCAGGAAAAAATATGCAATGGAAAAAAGACAGTCTCTTCAATAAATGGTGCTGGGAAAATTGGACAGCCACATGCAGAAGAATGAAACCTGACCATTCTCTAACACCATACACAAAATAAACTCAAAATGGATGAAAGACCTCCATGTGAGACAGGAATCCATCAAAATCCTAGAGGAGAACAGGAGCAGTAACCTCTTTGACATCGGCCACAGCAACTTCTTTCAAGATACATCTCCAAAAGCTAGTGAAACAAAAGCAAAAATGAACTTTTGGGACTTCATCAAGATAAAAACATTCTGCACAGCAAAGGAAACAGTCAACAAAACAAAGAGGCAACCCACAGAATGGGAGAAGATACTTGCAAATGACACTACAGATAAAGGGCTGGTATCCAAGATCTATAAAGAACTTCTCAAACTCAACACCCAAAAAACAAATAATCAAGTCAAAAAGTGGGCAGAAGACATGAAAAGACACTTCTCTGAAGAAGACATACAAATGGCTAACAGACATGAAAAATGTTCATCATCATTAGCCATCAGGGAAATCCAAATCAAAACCACAATGAGATACCACCTTACACCAGTTAGAATGGCAAAAATGCACAGGGAAAGAAACAACAAATGTTGGAGAGGTTGTGAGAAAGGGGAACCCTCTTACACTGTTGGTGGGAATGCAAGTTGGTACAGCCACTTTGGAAAACAGTGTGGAGGTGCCTCAAAAAATTAAAAATAGAGCTACCCTATGACCCAGCAATTGCACTCCTGGGTATTTACCCCAAAGACACAGATGTAGTGAAAAGAAGGGCCATATGCACCCCAATGTTCATAGCAGGAATGTCTGCAATAGCCAAACTGTGGAAAGAGCCAAGATGCCCTTCAACAGATGAATGGATAAAGAAGATGTGGTCCATATATACAATGGAATATTACTTAGCCATCAGAAAAGATGAATACCCAACTTTTACATCAACATGGATGGGACTGGAGGAGATTATGCTAAGTGAAATAAGTCAAGCAGAGAAAGTCAATTATCATATGGTTTCACTTATTTGTGGAACATAAGGAATAGCATGGAGGACATTAGGAGAAGGAAGGGAAAAATGGACGGGGGGAATTGGAGGGAGAAATGAACCATGAGAGGCTATGGACCTGAGAAACAAACAGGGTTTCAGAGCGGAGGGGGGAGTGGGGATTGGTTAGCCCAGTGATGGGTATTAAGGAGGGCACGTAATGCATGGAGCACTGGGTGTTATACGAAAACAGTGGATCATGGATCACTACATCAAAAACTAATGATGTATTGTATGGTGACTAACATAACATAATAAAATTTAAAAAAAAAGAAATAATGTGTTTTGAATTTTTTATTTAAATTCAATTAATTAACATATAGTATGTTATTAGTTTCAGAGGTAGAGTTCAGTGATTCATCAGTTGTATATAATACCTAGTGCTCATTACATCACATGCCCTCTTTAATGCCCATCACCCAGTTATCTCATCCACCCACCCCCCTCTCCTCCAGCAACCCTCAGTTTATTTCCTATGGTTAAGAGTCTCTTATGCTTTGTTTTCCTCCTGATTATGTCTTGTTTTACTTTTCCCTCCCTTCCTCTATGCTCCTCTGTTTTGTTTCTTAAATTCCATATATGAGTGAAATCATATAATTGTCTTTCTCTGATTGACTTATTTTGCTTAGCATAATACCCTCTAGTTCCATCCATATCATTGCAAATGGCAAGTTTCATATTTTGGACGGCTGAGTAATATTGCATTGTATATATATACCACATCTTCTTTATCCATTCATCTGGCACCTGCATCCCAATGCTTATAGCAACAATGTCCACAATAGCCAAACTATGGAAAAAGTCCAGATGTCCATCGATAGAAGCTTTTTGAATCTTAAAAGAAAAACAACTACAAACAGCAAATGTTGGTGATAGTAGTATGGTAATAACAACCCATCATTGTTATTTAAGAACACACAGGTTTCCATCATTAAAATACGGTTTTAAAAAATAAATGTTTCTTGAACATATGAATATGTTTCTATGAATCACACCAAGCCGCTGCTGGTGAGTTTTCCTCCCTTTGTGTGCCCCAAGCATGGCCAGCAGAGCCATGATTTATGAGATGAACAATAGGAGAGATGAGATGAACAACAGTGCTGTATCTGTTGAGTGGGTGACTTCAAGCACCTTAGGGGAGGAAAGGCAAAATCATGCAGACAAGGGGTCTGAAGAGATGGAGGATGGAAGGGAATTAGGGGCTTCTCACTTGTTCCTCAGCATTGCAGAGATCTTCTTCAATCAGGACCTGACTTAAATCCAAGCTCTGGGGGAAATCGAGTGAGTGGCAGATCTTTTCTGTCTGAGAATTCCTGATGGAGAACCGCAAGAGGTGGATTGTCAAGGTCTGGGGCAAATGGGTCAGCTTCAAGACCTGAAAAAGCAAAATTACTATGGAGAGGAAGTCCTAAGGCACTTGAAATGGGTAGATTTAGAGAAATACCAGGGCCAGTGGTGTGTTCTTCTTCCCCAAAAGGGATCAGAATGATATAATACAGATTTAAGGGCTCCCATCTGCTGAATCTGTTGAGCTCTCCACAGAAGGCATGAGCAGCCCTAGGGTTCTGCACAGGAACTAGAGACCAGGTCTGCTCTAGAGAGCTAGTCTAACACTGCATGGAAAACTCTGCCTGCTGCTCTTGGATCTTCTCTTATCTTTTTTTTTTATTTTAAGATTTTATTTATTTTGTCAGAGAGAGAAAGAGAGCCCAAGCAGGGGGAGCAGCAGGCAAAAGGAGCTCTGAGCAGGGTGAGCGGCAGGCAAGGGAGAAGCAGACTCCCTGCTGAACAGGGAGCCTAATGTGATGTGGGACTCAATCCCAGAACTCTGGGATCATGACCTGAGCTGAAGGCAGACGCTTAACCGACTGAGCCACCCAGGCGTCCCTTCCCTTATCTTTTAAAAGGCTCTGCCCTCTCAGTGATGGGCCTCTGAAAATCAGAAGCCCCAGATCCCAGATACTAGCCTGATAGGGATTCCCTCCCTCAACCAACATATGGTACCCTCAAGGCCTCTAAGAAGACTCTATCAGGAAATCCACTAAAGGCAACTCCAAACTAGGGAAGCTTCTGGTTTCAGAGAGTGAGTACCTGTTTCCCACAAGTCTTCTTTCCACATTTTTCACAGAAGCATTTGCTTTTGCCTGATAACTCCTTGGGCTGGAAGAAACATCGAAGGGCATCCTCCTGTGTCAGGAGATCAAAGAAAAAGCAGAGTTAGTATTTACCACCCTACAGATGAGGATTTAAGTTTTCCTTCTAGTTCTCTCCATGTCCCCCCTCAACACCTGGCCCAGTGTGGTGCATGTGGCAGGATCTCCAAAAGTACCTACTGACTGGATGGAAAAATAGGAGGGAGCACTTGTTAAGGTAGCAGTGTGAGGAAAGGAAGTAAAAGGAAACAATTTTTTTTCACCAAATCAAAGGAGAAACTTAGAACTGTGCAAAGAAAATAGAAATTACTTTTTAAAAGGCAGCGGTGGATTAAAGAAGTAAGGGCACATGGGCAGCACTCGGTTTATGAGAACAGCAAATTAACCAAAAGAAATCCCTCACCAGTGTTTTCAGGGGTTTTGAGTCCATATCAAAAAGAGGAAGGGGGAGGGTCAACATGCTACTGTTTCTGCTCTTCTCCACAGTACATTCAAGGCAAACCAAGGACTCCTTCACCTGGATTGTATACAGGGCCTGCAGCCTCTCTACCTGTAAGAAAGAGGAGGTAAGAGGAAAGAAGGGTACAAAGCCATAAATAGAACAGGTCAAGTCAATTTCCAGGAATTATAGCCACCAGACAGAAGTTCCATTGATGCTCTCTGCTCTCCAAAAAGGTGCAAAATCATAACAGTAATAAGATTATGAAATTGTGATAAGCATTTTATGTGGATTTCTCTTTTAATCCTCTCTATACATTATATTAATGATGGCTGAATGGGCTAAATGAGCAGCATCTTAAACTTCTGAGTTCTCTGGTTCTAGGATCTCACCAAGTCCACATCTGTGATTTGGTCCTTAATTAGGTTCCAGACTGTGAGGTAGAGTTGAGCAGCATCATGCTGGACAAACACTGGACAAAGAGAAAAGTAACAGCCCGATCAGTGAGGTCACCAGGGACATTTCTCATGCGTGCCCTTGTGCCCTAGCTACCTAGATGTATATGAACACTCATCATTTTGTCCTCTCCTAGCCTTCACCATCACCATCACACCCCCTACTTTAGTTAGGTACTAAAAATGAAAAATAAGCTTGTTATTTATTTTTGAGAACTCCTCTTAAAACTTAAAATCCAGGGGCGCCTGGTTGGCTCAGACGTTAAGTGTCTGCCTTCGGCTCAGGTCATGATCCCAGGGTCCTGGAATGGAGCCCCGAGTCGAGGCTCCCTGCTCAGCGGGGAGCCTGCTTCTCCCTCTCCCTTTGCCCCTCCCTGTGCTTGTGTTCCCTCTCTCACTGTCTGTCAAATAAATAAATAAAATCTTAAAAAAAAACCTTAAAATCCAGTCCAACTGCATCACAGAAGTTTCCTTTCCTCTGACTAGCCACCCACGCCTACTGGCCTCTACTGGGGGACTCAGCCAGATAAAATCAATATCCAATAGTGGGTTCTCTCCTATTTCCAAGCCAAGCCAACACCCTAATTAGACTTCAATGGCCATTCATTTCTCTGTGCTTTTATTTAATTTCTTTGTCATCTCCCAGAAATTGAGCAGTTTCCCAATACTCATATCTGATGCAGGTCTTCCCCAAAGCTATCTAGGAGAACAAGAAAGGAAAGAACCATCTCAGTTTAGATGATGCTGGCTAAGAAGAAACAGGAATTAAGCAGTAAATTCTCCATATGTTATGTAAGAAGCCGAAAAGACAGATATAAATGAATTTCTGTTCTTAAAAAGAAACCTAGGAATACGAAGAACATGAAAAAGACACTGAGGACTATTTTACAAAAGAATATATGTCTGCCAACATGCAAAGACATTGCAAGAAAAGGTAGTTATTGTAAACGTATTAAATATTCGTATCAGCTATCTCAAAACCATTTTATTTCCTTCATGATACCACAGTTTGTACTTAACATTTTTGGATTTCATTTTCTTTTGTTTTACTTTTGTTTTGGCCTGTCTATTCTCTAGATTGTAAGCTCCATGGAGGCAAAGACTCTATCAGTCTTATTCCCTTATCTACAGCACCAGCACAATACCAGGCACATAACAGATGAACCCTATATATATGAGCTAAATGAATTAATTAATCCATATTTTAAGGTAATAACCCCCAAACCTAAAGACAAACAGAGTGGAACTAGGGTTGAACTCTGCTGTCTCCAGGGAATTATTTACAGAAGGCTGCCTGCCACGAAGCCAACATTGGACATAAAGTTAGATCACCTTGCCATGTGAAGACATTTGCCTCATCTGACCATACCAGAGCCAAGAGTCCTGATTCATCTAAAAAATACAGGGATATTTGCCCAACCCATAATTTACTTAACACCTGCTATGTGCAAGTCATTGCACATGCTAGAGGAAGTTCCTATCCCCAAGAAACCTATATTCTAGTGGAGGACAAGAATGTCCCTTATCACCACTCCTTTTCAATGTGGTATTGGAGGTCCTAGCGAATGCAGTAAGACAAGGAGAGGAAATAAAGGTATACTGATTGGAAAAAAAAAAAATAAGAATGTCCTTATTTGCAGGTGACATGATCATCTCTGTAGAAAATTCAAAAGAATCAACAAAAAACTCCTGGAACTAGGAGCTGGATACAACTGGAACTAACTTGGATACAAGGTAAATAAAGTTATGGACCTTACAGAAGTCCTATATACTTTCCTATATACCAGCAATGAACAAGGGGAATTTTTTTCTTTTTTTTTTTATTACTATATTGAACTATCCAACATATATTACATCATTAGTTTTTTATTAAGGGGAATTTTAAATTAAAAGCATAATATTACTTAAATTAGAAACCATGAAAATAAAATATTTAGGTATGAATCTAACCAGATATGTACAAGATCTATATGAGAAAAACTATGAACTCTGATGACAGAAATCAGAAGAACTACAAAAATGGAGAGATATTCCATGTTCATGGATAGGAGGACTCAACACTGTCAAGATGCCAGTTCTTCCCAACTTGATCTATAGACTCAGTGCAATTTCAATCAAGATCCCAGCAAGTTATTCTGAGAATATTGACAAAGTGATTCTAAAATCTATTTGGAGAGGCAAAGACCTAGAATAGCCAACACAATATTGAGGGGAAAAACCAAAGTCAAAGAACTAATTCTGAACTTACTATAAAGTGTCAGTAATCAAAACAATGTGGTATTATAAAAGAACATAAAAATAGATCAATGGAATGAAACAGATCCCAGGAATACACCAACATAAACAACATCAACTGCTCTTTGACAAAATAGCAAAAGCAGTACAACAGAACAAAGGCAGTCTTTTCACCAAATGGTGCTGTAATCCTGAATATCCACATGCAAACAAATGAATCTATACACAGACCTTAAATCCCTTAAGAAAACAAATTCAAAACGTATAACAGACTTAAATGTAAAATGCAAAACTATAAAAGTCCTAAATATAATAAAGGAGAAAATCTAGAAGACCTTGTGTTTGGTGATTACTTTTTAGATGCAACTCCAATGTACAAGCAATAAAAGGAAGCAGTGAGATACTGGACCTCATTAAAAATAAAAATTTCTGCTCTGTGAAAGATACTATCAAGAGCATGAGAAGACAAGCCACAGACTGAGAGAAAATATTTGCAAAAGGTATAACTTATAAAGGACTGTTATCCAAAATATACGAAAAAATTCTTCAAACTCAACAAAACAAAAAAAAATCTGATTAAAAAATGGATAAGAAACCTGAATAGACATCTCACCAAAGAAGATACACAAATGGCAAATAAGCATATGAAGAGTGCTCAGCATATGTCAAAGAGAATTAAAGAGGGCAGGTGATATAATGAGCACTGGGTGTTATAGTCAACTAATGAATCACTGACCATTATATCAAAAACTAATGATGTATTATACCTTGGCTAATTGAATTTAAATAATTTAAAAAAGAAATTACAAATTAAAATAATGAGATACCCCTACAAACCTATCAGAATGGCCAAAATTTAAAACACCAACACAGTACTAGAAATCCTAGGCTCATTGTTCAGACAACAAAAAGAAATAAAAGGCATCCAAAAAGAAGAAGTCAACTTTCACTCTTCACAGATGACATGATACTTTATGTGGAAAACCCAAAAGACTCCACCCCCAAATTGCTAGAACTCATACAGGAATTCAGCAATGTGGCAAGATATAAAACCAATGCACAGAAATCAGTTGCATTTCTATACACAAAACAATGAGACAAAAGAAAGAAATTAGGAGTCTATACCATTTACAATTGCACTCAAACCCATAAGATACCTGGGAATAAACCTAACCAAAGAGGCAAAGGATTTGTACTCCAAAAACTACAGAACACGTATGAAAGAAATTGAGGAAGACACAAAGACATGGAAAAACATTCCATGCTCATGGATTGTAAGAATAAACATTGTGAATATGTCTATGTTGCCCAGAGAAATCTACACATTCAATGCAATCCCTATCAAAATACCACTGACCTTTTTCACAGAGCTGGAACAATCAATCCTCAAATTTGCATGAAACCAGAAAAGACTCCAAATAGCCAGAGGAATGTTGAAAAAAAAAAAAAAGCTGGGGGCATCATGACGCCTGACTTCAAGCTATATTACATAGCTGTGATAACCAAGACAGCATGGCATTGGCACAAAACAAACATATTGATCAATGGTACAGAATAGAGAATCCAGAAATGGACCTTCATCTCTATAGTCAACTAGTCTTTGACAAAACAGGAAAGAATATCCAATGGCAAAAAGTTAATAGCCAGGCTTGAAAAAAAGCATACATGACAATACAGAACCTCTAGAGCAAAATGAGATCTAATCAGGCCAACTGAAAAATGCTATGAGTGAGATGCAGTCTAAATTGGATGCTCTAACATCTAGAGTCAATGAGGCAGAAGAGAGAATAAGTGACACAGAGGACCGGCTGATGGAAAGGAAGGTAGCTGAGGAAAAGAGAAAGACAACTTATAGCCCATGAAAAAAGGCTTCAAGAATTTAATGATGCCCTGAAATGAACCTATGTCAGAATTATTGGGGTTCCTGAGGGGATGGGGAGAGAGAGAGGGCCACAGGGTATATTGGAGCAAATCATAGCTGAGAACTTCTCTAATCTGGGGAAGGAAACAAGCATTCACATCCAAGAGGCAGAGAGGACCCCTTCCCAAATCAACAAAAATAGATCAACACCACGATATGTAATAGTGAAGCTTGCAAATCTTAGAGAAAAAGAAGTTATCCTGAGAGCAGCTAGGGAAAGGAGGTTCCTTACATATGGAGGGAGGAAAATCAGAATAACAGCAGACCTATCCACAGAAACCTGGCAGGCCAGAAAGGCCTGGAGAAATATATTCAGCTTACTAAATGAGAAGAACATGCAGCCAAGAATACTTTATCCAGCAAGGCTATCATTCAGAATGGATGGAGAGATAAAGAGCTTCCAGGACAGACATAAATTGAAAGAATATGTGACCACCAAGCCAACCCTGCAAGAAATAGTAAGGGGGATACTGTAAGCGAAGAGAGACCCCAAGAGTCACCTAGACCAGAAAGAAACAGAGACAATCTACAGAAACAGGGACTTTACAGGCAATACAATGGCACTAAATTCGTATCTTTCAATAATTACTCTGAATGTAAATGGACTAAACGCTCCAATCAAAAGACACAGGGTATCAGATTGGATTAAAAAGCAGGACCCATCAATATGCTGTCTACAAGAGACTCATTTTAGACTCAAAGACACCCCCAGATTGAAAGTGAGGGGGTGGAGAACCATTTACCATGCTAATGGACCTCAAAAGAAAGCTGGGCTGGCAATCCTTAAATCAGACAAGATAGATTTTAGACCAAAAACAGTAAAAAGACCCATAATCATAATTAAAGGGTCTATCCAACAAG